GTGAATCTCTCATGATTTCATGAAGCCAATGAACCCCTTTCACATGACAAAAAATAAAAATCGCTCTTGTTTAAGTAAATTTTACTTGAGATTTTGCTATTATATTCAGTGAAATAAGCTTACATAAAGCACTACCCTTAAAGTGAAAAATAATTATAATATCTTGGCCTGAAGTCATGGGTTCAAGCCTGTTGAAGTACTCAATGTGTCCCAAAAATATGTCATTTGATCAGGCTACTCACATCAATTTCAAAAAGAAAATAGTTCAACTTATCTTTAATGGCAAGAATTTGGTAAAAGCATTTCTCTTCAAAGGTCAACTACTTTGTGCTGAAACCAGCACATTCAATGCCCTCCACTTTTTCTAAGCATAGAAGACTGACAAAGTGCTACTGGCCATGAAGTGATTATAGTTACAGTTTTTGCTGTTCCTTGAATCATAAATCAAAATCAAGAGGCATATAGTTAACCAGCTACTGTTCTGGAGAATACAGCAGTGTGTGATTTCTCATTCAAATACAGCCTTCCCCTTTCCATGACAGCTATGGCCAGTCCCTTCTAAACTCTAGTAGTGTACCCAGTGCAGAGCACATCACCTCTTACAAAATTGAGACAAAGTAAACAAATTATGACAAAAACATCTCCTAGAGTGTGGATTCTCTGTTGACCACTCATGTCCCACCAGTATGTGTTGAACTGATTCAACTATGAAACAGAATCAGCAAACACACTAATGCACTGGCAACTGCTCCTCCATGCAGTAGGTCATTACTATTATGTGACATCCAACAATAAGTAAATGAATTTTAACCAAAAACCCATTGTGCTTCTTTTCAGAGAATATCTGTAATGAGTTTTGACTCTAGTCTTATTGGCTGCTCTGTAATAGTATAATTTCTATCTCTTTCTGAAACAAGAAAAAAAAGAATTTGTGTTTTTCCTTTAACAATGTTTCATTACTTTCACACTTAAAATCATTATTTGCATTTGTTTTTCTAAAAAAGATCTCAACTGACTTACAAATGATGGTAAAAATTGCCTGAACTGATAACCTTCTGAAGAACAATTAATTGGCAAAATATCAAAATATCAAATCATAAGATATTTTCATCTGATTTCCCAAACACCTTTTTTTTTTTTTGGTTGGGGGAGAGATTCTTGTCTTCGAAAATAATCATATTCACAGGTTGACAGATTCACTGTATGCAAAGAGATTCACATTACTTTAGGACATTATAAATTTAGATTTTGCTATTTATCTCTACCTTTATGCTTCATTAAATCATGACTTAGACATACAAAGGGGAAAAAATGCAATTTAACAAATACCAGAAAGTATGTATGACAAGCAGGAAAAAATTCTAGCCAAACAGGCATCACGTTGGTGGATACCAGCCTGGGTGATACAACAGAAGTCCGAGTGGCCCTGGAACAGCTGTTAAAAAGTTGAAAACACAATTTATGAAGTTCTCCATGGGACTTCTGTGAGAGCCAACTAGTTTTACAAGTCACATCTGTAAACTTTACAGGTTTAAAAAAACAAATGATTTCTCTGGCTTTTTCTTGGAAACTGAAACTGCCTGCAGGCTGCTAAACCAGCCACATCTTAAGCCATACTGCCTTTTTGGGCAAAGGCAAGATGTTTAAGAATGCTGAAAGTGATGTCATCCAATTAGTCAAATTTATTGCATATTTTCTGTAATGTAATTCATTTTTAGTTGACACTACTCAGTCTAAATTTAAGAATGCTTAAAAAAAAATAACCTGTCAAAGAAGATGAAAAAAGTTTACAAGTCTGACTCTGGAGTGTTCTTAAGAATTTCTTCCTTTATAGTTGCACTGTATTTTTTTGGTGTATATATTTTGTTCATTTGTAATTTTAAGAGGAAAAGATTGACAAGAAAGAAATGCTAATCTTTAATATTACAAACCAAAGATAGTGTATTAGTCAAGATAAGATGGGGTATATTACCATAACAAAAAAATCTCCCAACTTCAATGGCTCTAAACAACAAAGGTTTATTTCTCCCTGCGGCTGTATGTCTGTTGCAGATCAGGGGAATCTCTGCTACCACCTCACCCTTTTTCTTGCTCTGCCAGGCAGGTTGATGGAGCAACCACTGCCTGAGGCATTTCTGCTCCTGTGGGAGAAGGAAAGGACACTGCTGGGCCGCTCATTGGCAACGAAATATTTTCTCCCACTCACAGCTCCTCAGCCAGGAAGGTCAGAGCCTCCTTAGCAACAAGGGTGCCAGGAAGTATGACCCCACGCTATGTCCAGAGTGGACAGAATGGGCATGTTTGGAGAGCTGCTCAGAATCCCACCATGAGCATTTAGACAGGGTTTGCTCCTCATTCTAACAAGTACAGTTCAGTTTGCCAAGGGGGTTCGCCAATGCCTTCTTTAGGTTAAACAGCATGGAATAAATTAGGACATAAGGAAAACCATGTCAGCAAAACAAAATATGTTGGAAGAGCTACAAAAGGCAGAAAAACAAGAATCAAGAGGAATTTTGAAGAGGGTGAAAAGTCTTTTGATTCAAATGACTGGGGAAGGCTTTATAGAGTTCATATGATGAGAGCCTTAATATAGGAAGACATTTTAATAAGCAGGGTTGGGACAAGGAGACAGAGAGAAGGGATTTCTGAACAGAGTAAATAGCATGGACAAAGTTGTGGATTTTGAAATGTGGGCTTTATGACTGCATGGTGCAAGTTCCACAGTGACAATATCTGAAACCAGCCCATTTCCTCATCCTCCTCTGAGCTCCTGGCACATACTGATGGTTGTTACATGAGGTGCTAGGGATACTTTATAATGTCTCATTCTGATTGTTCAGTGCATGTTTGCAAACATGCACTCTGAGTGCTAACGAGCACCCAGTACTCTCAAGAGGTACTTCTTGGAAGTTAATGTGTTTTTGCTATCAGACAGACAGCAAAGAATATAATCCTAACCTTGACAGGAGGGTAATAAACCTTTCACATGTATTTTACATCCCTTTGTTGCCCCTAGTTAAAAGCCAGCAGAACTTTTACTTGACATTTGCCATGACTGAACCTATCTCCAAAGCTTTTTAGGACCCCCTAGGTTGCCCTCCTTATAGAAGTTCTTTGAAAGCAGGGGGTTTACTTGTATTCCTAACCCCAGGCTAACTCCTTCCATTTGCTTGAGGCAAAGAGAGTGTGAAGGATTCTAAGAGCAAAACAATTTAAAAAATAATTAAGTATTATCCTTATGACTGTAGAAGTTATATTAAAATATCTGAGGCAGATGCCTGCCTCTCTGGGTCACCAATGACTTGTATACAGGGATTGGGCAAAGGCCTCTTTTAGTTAAGGTAATGGAATGGGATAGTGACTGAGAGCAATCGAGAACTGTGACAATAGAAAGGCAGGTGAGACCCTACCCCAATCTGGAGCATGACAGTGGCAGGACAGAGCAGCTGCTTCAGGTCACAGCCAGCCTGCAGGTGAGAAGCTCTGGCTCCTGACCTGTATTCAGGTATGGTTTCCAGGGCAACAGCAAGTCTGCAGAGCCCTTGACGACATGTGCTACGCTGCAATTGGGCCAGATAAGAACGGAGCACTCCAGTTTGGGGTTCAGGCCCAAGACCAGTGAGGTCGCCCCTCTAGGTGTTGTGGTGGCAGGAGCTATGTTACACTTTTATCTGTACACCAGTATTGGAAGATGCTGTACATAGAGGGGCCCAGGACCCTCACACCAATTTCACCAATTTGCTGCTTGGAGAACATTCATTAAAGAACTCCATTTAGGGAGCTGGCAGGCATTCCCAATTAAATTTGGCTAACAGGATCGGTTCTCAAATTTGTTCCATATTTCAGTTGCCTGGGAACTTTTAAACACCCTGAAGCCAAAGCCACATTGTGGACCTGCTTAAGTGATGATTTCTGGGCTGGGGCCTAGATATCAATAGGTTTCAAGACTCCACTAGGTGATTCCAATGGGTCACAAAGGCGGAATGCAAGTAGGTTATCACCTTGTTACTCAAAGTATGGTCCATGGACCACAGTATCAGCAACACTTGGGAGCCCACTAGAAATGCAGATTTCTAGGCACCACCAGCCCTGTGGATTGTGCTGAATCACAAGGTCCTCAAGTGCTTTATTTGCACATTAAAGCTTGATAAGTACTGGACAGGACGCTCTTTAATGGGGCCTAATGGAGAACCCGAAATAATGTAACAATAACCTGGGTGTGGGGATTTGCTAAGAGCAAGACCTAGAAAACTGTTCAAGAAGGTGAAAGAGCCTGAAAGTTTTTGGTTAACTGTTGTATCTGCGCAGATTAATTTCCGCACTGACTTTCCAGAACCCTACTTAGTCTAAGGTTTCTTGTTTCCTTTGAAAGCTTAATATGTGACAAGACAGCTCTAAGTGCTTTGTGCTTATCATTAATTAATCCTCGGGACTGACCATGCTGCAAATGTACACAGTTCTTGTTTTGCAGAAGTACAATGAGGTTAGGAACCCGCCCCCCATCGTCTAGCTATTCAGTGGCCCAAGAGGGATTTTGCTTTGCTTATAATTGTTGACCTATTTTCCAGTGTTACCAAAAGACAGCTTCATGTTATGTTAGCATTGAGGAGGAGGAATGAAGACCAAGGGTGTCAAGCAGTAGCTGCCCATAACGGTGCTGGAGCCTCTGGAACCACTCCTCTGAATAGCCTGACTCTTGTGAGAAGCTCGGGAGAGAGAGGTATTGTTCTCCTACTTTGAGCTACACTGGAGCATCCTGTCAGCCCAGTGACAGGGACCAGCTGGGAAAACTTCCTGGGAACACCACAGGGCAGTTGCTGAGGACAATCCCAGACTTGCACAGAGCCTGACAGTCTCCTCTCTGGTCCAGAATCACCAAAGAGCAGCTGCAGGAGAACAAGGTCATGACCATCACACACAGGCTGTACCCTGAAGAATAAGAAAGAGCACCATCTTCCAGCCAGGGTGTTAGAACTAAAGCTTTATTTTAATGTTTCACTATTTTCAGAACATCACTGGCCACTAGAAACTTGTATGCAAGGGCAATTTTTATCACTGTACAATAAGTAAAATATAATAGATAATGGAAGTGTAACAATAAATACACCTTAAATATAAATATACACATTGACATCCCACACATACAAAAGTCATGCTCTATAAATACTCTGTCCACAGTTGCCTTTGTTGGGTACTGACTTCCAGGATGGAGCTTTGAGGGCTTACATGTCTCCCATGAGTTATGGATACTTCCAGACAGCTGATGTAGGAGCAACACATTACAAATTTTGAAAAAATCATCACAGAGCAACTTTTTAGGTATTTTTTTTTATTCTACAAAGAATGAGCATTTCTGAAATATTACAAACAGTGAAACAAATATACTAACTTTTGGATATGTACAATGTATTACTTTATACTTCAAAAATGCAGGAAGATAAATTATATATATATATATGTATATGTTGTTATAATTTTGATCTGATAACAATTCAATATTGCTCTTGTACTGGTCTTGCTGTATTGCAGGCATGCCCACATGCCCATGGCTTGTCACTGGATGAAGGAAGGACTGGTGGGGACAGAAGGGAACACAGGAGAGCCCCAAGCTTATCTCCGGAGTGCCATCTTCAAAGCAATATTTTGAGTTTTTGACTTACTGTGCTAGGTCAAAACTTCTGTGCCCATATGCAACATAGGTTGCATCCTCAAGAACCACAACTACATATTCAAGATGGGATCACATAAATGCTAACAACATCCGATTCTGTGGAACTATCTCCTCAAGCCCTGAATCAATTATGGAACTTCTGAAAGACTATTTGCCTTAATCACAATACCATCAGTTCCGTTCACAGAAAATGATCTCAGAACAAAGACCCATGACTGAAGCGTCAATAGCCTTCTTGTAAACTCATAGGCAAAATGCAGAAGAATAAAATGTGTCCTGAATGAGATCAGATTTTCACTAATGACAAGTTTCTCGTATTGATGAAGCTCTAAACAGTTAAAAATGTAGACACTGCCTTGATAGGGCAAAAAGCAATTCTGACTTACATCAGTGGGAACCAGACAATTGGCAGGGAAAGCACACACTGGAAGCCTTATGGACATGACAGTCTGTGGGAAATCACACATTTTACTGTTAGCAAAACACCCACCCAAGACCTCTAAATTCCATGTTGAACATGAAGCCCTGTTTCTTTTTCCACTTAACCCATAGCCAAATTAAAAATTGATTATATTTCTCTGATTATAGAAATAGAAAAAAGGTAGAGACAAGTTGAAACACAAATGTCCTAGAAAATCCACCAATTCAATTTCACTGTGAGGGCTGTGGGTCAGCCACCTGGAACAGGACAAGCCCACAGGAGGGCACACCCATTAGGACTTGGAGAGGGCCTGGAGAGGGGTTCTGCGTGACCCCACTGACACCCAGGTTGCTTCCATACCCTCCCTGCTCAGGATTTGCTCTTGGAGGCCATCGTGGTGGGAAGATCACAGAACAAATGGTTCTCAAGGCAACTCCCACACACTAAATACATCCCAAGGGAGAGTTATTAAAAGAGTAGAAAGGATGAGACATAGGCAAGGGCAATTTAACCAGAGGCAGTAAATTTAGAATTTGCTGCCCAGTTGCTGCTGCCTCAGCCCTGCTCAGGAGGGGCAGGTGCCATGTGAGGAGACCCACAGGGTGTGCATGCCATCATCCCGCACTTGATGACTCTGCCCCAGCTGGTGCTGCTACTCACAGCTAGGGAGCTCCCTGCACAAGCCTAGTGGGCACTTAACTTCCTGTGCCTGCTGGGTGGGCCACAGGAAGGACTGCTGCAAGGAAAGTTCTGTATTCGGGGCCAGCATTGGCTATACTCACTGGAAATGATGAGAGAATTCACAGGCTTTCAGTGGGAATTTTCAGGAAGCAGACTCGAGGATAGCAGAGCAACTGAAGACAGTAGGCGCTGTCCTGCCTGTCTCCAACCACCATCCTGTCTGCAAGCCAGCAGGCAGGAAGTGGTAATGGCTGTAATTCAGTCTGAAGGATTAGGATGCACATGAGATCATTATGAGAAAAACATAATTGTTTCCCAAGTGAACACGGCACTGAACAGCTCTTAGGAGGCATTTATAATGGAAAATCTAAGATAATCTACTATTATTTGAAGACATTTTCCAGAAATATACTGTTATAGATAGCTCATTGAAACACAGTGAAAAATTTGTTTGAAAATATTTCATTAAGGTGCAAAGTATGGCATACACATGTCTGTGTCACTGAGAAAAGAAATGTGCTTCTGGTTTTCAGATGGCCTTTGTCAGCTGTTGCCCAGCTGGATACATATCCAGTTATTTGAAAGAAGAAATCCATCTTGGAGGAAAACAGAAATGTCTGCTTTAATTGCCTTTATTTAAAATCTGAGAGCTGGAAGAAGTTATATCCTTCATGGGTTAAAGGAAGGAAACTTCACATGTAAAACCCTTGAGTCTAACACAGGAGTAGTGCGGGGTATTCATAAAGTCACAATATCCTCACTCATGCACTGAAGAATTCCTGACAGAGCAGCACACTTGTAGTGAGCTCATCATTGTGTGTGAAAAGAAACTCTGTAAAAGGTTAAACCAAAAGCTGCTAATTAGGCCTAGTGAGGTGAGTACACTCCCACTGGGAAGCAAGGTGCATAGGTCAGCTGGGCATTGGAGAGAACATCCTCTAGGGGAGGCTGTTATTCTATTTTAATCCAGCTAAAGAACCATGAAATAAAGAGATTTTGGCGTGGTCTTTTCACTTCCTCCAGCCTCTCCCTTCCCCCAAGGAGGCACTGACTGCTGAGCAGAGGGAAAGGCCTGGTCTGTGGTAGCACCTGCAGCTCCAGGTGAACATGCTCAGGCACACATGCAGGTGACAGTGGCTCCCCTCAGCTCACACTACCTCCTGATGGCACATGATGCCTTCAGAGAATGCTGGCACCTCTCAGCTCCCTGCGAGGCCAAGCATGTTGGTTTTCATTTTAACCATCTGGAAGATTCCCTGGTTCTGAAGAGGGGCGCTTATTGTTGGTGGTGTAAAATGCCCTCTTAGGGACAATAGGGCACATTTCGGTCAAAATGCAATATATAACATATGGGCATCTTACATGCTACCCTGACAATGGTGGGTTTCAGGGGAAAGGAGGAAGGCGAGATTCCAGGGGACATGAAAAGGGCATTCACATGAGCACACATTTGCCCTTGAGCTTTTCTTTCCTTTTCTGTTGCTTGCTTTTTTTCCCATCGATCTGTAGGCTCACAGTCCTGCGCTTCTCCAGGTTGAGCAGCTCCTGAAAAAGCTCCTTCACGTTGTGATTGAGCTTGGCCGAGGTCTCCATGAAAGCACACTTCCACTTGCGGGCCAGGGCCTCTGCCTCACTGGACTCTACCTCGCGGCTCGGGCTCTCATCACACTTGTTACCCACTAGCATGATGGGGATACTCTCCACATCCCCTTTGATCTCACAGATTTGTTCATAAATGGGTTTAAGCTCTTCCAAGGACTGCCGGCTGGTGATGGAGTACACCAGGATGAAGGCATGCCCTTTGGAAATGGACAACCTCTGCATAGCGGGAAACTGGTGACTGCCCGTAGTGTCTGTGATCTGCAATGTGCAGATGCTCTTATCACAGCTGATGACCTGCCGGTAGGTGTCTTCCACAGTGGGGATATAGCTCTCCCGGAACGTACCTTTCACAAACCTCAAGACTAGGGAGCTCTTGCCAACACCACCTGCTCCGAATACAGCCACCCGGTAATCATTGCTCTGTTCTGGCATATTGCTTGAGGGCTCCAACTGTTAACCAAAAAGCACCTAGCAAAGGAAACAGATGTTTGAGAGCATTAATAAAAAGTACATTGAAAGAGATTGCTTTACCCTCTAATGATAACTAAAAAAAAAAAAAAATTGAAGTGATATAGTTTGCTTTCAGTCTCCCAACATTCAAATGTCACTTGAAAAATTCTTAAATTCTAAATCCAATATGTATAGTGAATCCTCAATTTCTAAATGGGCAGACAATCTACTCAGTGGCCAACTGGACTGGTCTGTCTCCCCTTATTGGACCATGATCCTCAGCATCTTTGCTCACATAGGCACCATCTATCCAGAGGAAAAATGCTGAGTCTGCCCAAGAGAGGCAGAATCAAGGAAAGCTGATGGAGAGATGGCAATTAACTACCCCCTTCCATACACACACAGGTACACATTCACAACCACAGCATGTCTCCGTTGTTTTACCTGAAGCTTTATAAACATCCAATGAACTACTCAGAATATGTGATTTATTTTTCTACGAGCTGGGGAGGGGAAGCAATGGAGTGGAGAAGACTATTAGTATTTAGTCATTGTCCATATTAACTCACGAAATCCTCACCACCTTGCAGAATTATTGTCATTGTCTCTTTCGCACAGTGAAAAAACTGGAAATATGGAAGAAACTGGGCAACGCAAGGTCCCCAACTTCACAGTACCAGTGAGAGATGAGGCTGCAATGCAAACCCAAGTATGCTGGCTACTTCACTTACCCTGAAAACTGCCTGGGCAGAGAGCACAAAGCAGTGGTGTGGGCACCACTCAAGCCATGGGGTGAGCTGTCTCAATAAACAGCAAGAGTTGGCAGTCAACAAAAAGGCTTGGAGAATCCTTTCATTCATCAAATTTAAAATGGCTATAGGTGCTTTATGTTTATGAATCATAAGGAATCAAGCGTTATCAAGAAAGTAGTATAAATTGCTGTTAACAGTAATTAAAATGGAGTACAACAGGGTTTGTATTCATCAGAAACATCACCCCAAATCCAGGAATAAATGTACTTTCCTCACATACAGATTATCAAATATCCTTCATCCTGACCCTTCTTTGGTAAGAAAGGTCATATAACACACAACAGTGGGAATTTAAGCAATATCCATAATTTTGTTTTAGCTGAAAGATACAAATTATATAATGGAAAACACAAAACCCATTTTCTCCAGACAACCACTGCTTTCACATTTCAGATCTTGGAGTAACTGAAGACTAATAATAAAAGTCATTGTCTGAGGCCAGAAAAAATATTAAACATAATTATCCATGGAGGGGAATGGCTGTGGACAGTGAAGGATCAAAGACTAGGACTGTGCATCTGTCTCCTGATTTCACCACGTGCACGTGCCTGCATATCCACTGAAACATTTAGCTCTCATATGCACTTTGGAATCCCAAACCTACCAAGAAACTGAAGAAATATCAATGATAAAACAGAATATAGACAGATGTAGGAAGTTCATTATCAGTGAAAGACTGTGAGAAAAACTGCTTAGGAGTTTGATTAGTCTATTAAATGCTCGTGGGATCATTATGATCAATTCAAGAGCCTAGAATTGTGATAAATTGTTCTGTTTTACAAAACACAATGGCCTATAAAATCTGGCATGAAACTTCTCTCTGCATTATCAGAATGAGGTTTTCTTTGTGCTTCAAAGGCAGCATCCTCACTCACTTGCTTGCATGGTACTTTAGCTCCAGACTGGGCGGGTAAGCATTTTGCTAGAAGGGAGCATGTTTTAACAAGCTCTGTATCCAAAAATCTCTTGGTCTGCAGCTCACATTAATTCTGTGTTTTGATGAATATTTCTTGGCCAAGCTAATATGTCTCCACTATTAAACTAACAACCAAGTATGGAAAACAAAGATAAAACATCAAAAAGAATAATTTGTAGCTACTATAATTCATTTGTCCAAGAAATATCTATTGAATTTGCTCTGAAAGCCAGGCTCTGGAGGTCAGCAAACAGCTGTGAAGAGGACAGATCTAAGGCAGGGCCTCTGTTCTTATAGAACTTAGGATCAAGTGGTGCTCAGACATCAAAAAGATAACTTCACAAAGATTTAATAAATTACATCACAGCAGTGGTGCAAAAGAGAAGTGTAAAAGAGTCTATCCAACCTGAGGTATTAGGAGCAACTTCCCTAAGGAGTTGGCATGGGAACAGTAACCTGAATGATGCACAAGAGACAGACAGGTGGAAGGGTGTAAAAGTTCACCGAATTTATGAGAGAGGTCTGGGGCAATAGCTCCATACTGATCTTCATACTCTTCCACCTCAGATTTAGTCATTTATTTTACAAGCATTTGTTAAAACAAAACAAAATAAAAACCTCCAAATAAAATGCAAACTTGGCACTTACCCAACAGAAGCTAGATAATGGTGATAATAGCACTAACTTCCTTACAGAGCTGCTGTGGGATTCAGTAATATAGTACATGACCAAGCAGTTGCCAGTGCAAAAGTCTCAGGCTGTTTTCATAAGAACCAGGCAGAAAAGGGGGTCACAAAGAAGCAGTAAGGAGAGTGGGGAGAAAGTGAAGAGAAGATAACAAAATGCCAAGAGAGAAGAAAATGTCAAAAGGGCATCAAGGGTGTGCAACTAAAGCAGTACGTAAAGGAAATATATAGCTATTATGAGAGTTAAATGAGAAGAAAGGTCTCAAGTCAGTAATGTAACTTCCCCACCTTAATAGAGAAAAAGAGCAAACTAAACCCAAAGAAAGAAAAATTAGGGAAAAATTAATAAAATAATGAATATAACCATAATAAGGATGAATCAATAAACCTAAAAAGTATTTCTTTGAAAAATATTAACAGAAAGAAACTTTGTGTTCAACTGACCAAAAACAAAACCAAAAAAAGGTGAAAAGACTCAAATTACTAAAATCAGGAATGAAAGCAAAGACATTACTGCTGACCTTACAGAAATATAAAAGTTTATGAGACTCCTATAATCAACTGTATGACAACAAGTTATATAATTAAGATGAAACAGAAGCAGACTACCAAAGCCGACTCAAGAAGAAATAAAAAATATGAATAGACCTATAACAGGTAAAGATATTAAATTAGTAATTAAAGAAAACTATCCACAAAGAAAATTCCAGGTCCAAATGGCTTCACTGGTAAATTCCAGCAAACATTTAAAGAGGAATTAATACCAGTTTTTTAGCCCTGACCAGTGTGGCTCCATTGGTTGGAGCGTCATCCCATAACCAAAAGGTTGTGGGTTCAATTCCTAGTCAGAGCACATACCTAGGCTGCAGGTTCAATTCCTGGTCAGGGTGTAGGCATGTGAGAACCCCTGGTCCAGATGTGTATAACTGCCAGTCCAGGTACATATGGGAGGCAACCAACTGAGGCTTCTCTCTCACATTGATATTTCTCTTTCCCTTCCTCTCTCTCTAAAACGAATGAAAAAAAATGTCCTCAGATGTGGATTAAAAAAAAAAAATTCTTCACAAACTCTTCCAAAAAAAAAAAAACAAAAACAAAACATAAATAGGAGAGAATGTTTCTCACTCTTTCTGAATGTAATATTACCCTTATACCAACATCAGGAAAAGACACCACAATAAAACTACAGACCAGGATCTCTTATAAATACAGATTTGAAAATTCTCAGCAAAATAATAGCAAATTGAATTCATCAAAGTATATTCATCAAAAAATTTTACATCATAAGCAAGTGGGATATATACCAGGAATGCAAAGTTGGTTTAACATCCAAAAAATAATACAATATAATTTATCAATAAACTAAAAGGTAAAAACTATGATAATTTTGATACAAAAAAATAACAAAACTCAGCACCCAATCATGAAAAAACATAAAATAAACCTTAAACCAGCAATAAAAGGGAACTTCCTCAACCAAATAAAGGGCATATAATTTAAAATCCACAGCTAAAATAACATTTATTGATGAAATACTGAATATTCTCTCCCTACCATTAGAAAAACAGATGAGTGTCAATTCTTACAGTTTTTTTCTTTTTTTGAATTGTAATTATGATTCAATACTTGTACAGACATGAATGCTCATTCTCCCAGAACCAAATAAAGCACCACTAAGAATTATATAAAAGTAATTACAATCAAGAATTTGTTTTCATATTCTTTAGAACTAAGTGTTTAAAAAACAAAAAGTTGCAAAAGTGATAAAATATAATTTTCTTATAATTGCTTAGGTGTATTTTGTAAATTCCAAATAAGTAAAATAATAAAATATATTTTCAAATCTTTATAGAATGAAAAGAAACTCACATTAATCATTCAATATTCTTGTATTTTCTTTACTCCTCCCACAGATGAATTCACAAATGTAAAAACTGATATATTTTTATATTCTAAAGTACAAATTTCCAACAGCCAAGTAGTCATACATTTTATGTGCAAAGTAGAAATTGCATATTTGCTTGCTATGGAAAGCAGAGATTAGGCTCAATGCAGAATAATTGATTTTTTTAAGAAAAATGCTGTTATAAAAATGTACAATAGTAAATATTTTTGGTAATTATGTACTTATAAAAGGAAATAAAAGTTTTTAAATATAAATCTTTTAAAGGTTGTCTTTGAAGAACTGTGAAGTGATTTATTTCAAATCCAAAGAACACTTTTAATTGTATTTTATCATTTATGCTATTACAGCTGTCCCTACTTTTTCTCCCTTTGTCCACTCCCACCGAGCCCCTCATCCCTCAGGCAATCCCCACACCATTGTCCATGTCCATGGGTCATGAATATATGTGTGTTGGCTAACCCCTCCACCTTCTTTCATGCAGCCCCCACCCCTACTCCCCTCCAACAGCTGTCAGTCTGTTCCATGTACCTGTGCTTCTGTTTCTATTTTGTTCAGTTACTTTATTATGCTGAATAACAATATTTTGTTAGTAACCTTATCAAAAACCAAGCCAGGAAAGGGTTTTCTTTCTTTTTCTTTCTTTCTCTTTTCCTTTCTTTCTTTCTCTTTTCCTTTCTTTCCTTTCTCCCTCCCTCCCT